CTTAGACTTTGCTTGGTTTGGGGCCTGGTTTGTGTTGGTTTAGGTTATGTTTTGCTTGAGACGTTGTCACAATGTGTTGGAGTGGCTCTGATTGGCCTGGTTCGTGCCCTGTTTCGCTTGACACGTTCTCGCAAGCTGCGTCGTTTGGTTCTGGTTTGGTTTGGTCGGGGCACGGTCTCGCTAGAGACGCTCAGTGTCGCTTCATACGTCTCCGCAACTTGCCTAGTTTAGCCGTGGTTTTGTTTAGTTTGAGCACGGTTTCGCCTCAGACGTCTTGGCAATTGTTGACGCTTCGCGTAACCCCGCCAGCCCATCTAGAATCCCTGCCCATGAGAGTTGACGGGAAGTGGCAAGCAAGGTTACATATAGTTAACCAACATTGGGCAAGGAGAGGAGGGTGGTCAGGGTGTTGGAGCGCTCTCTGAGCTCTTTGGGAGGGTCTTGGGGCCCTTTTGGGGCTCTTGGGGGGGGTATTGGTGCCCTCTTGAGGCCCTCGTGGGGCTCTCTTGGGGGCCTCTTGGGAGCCTCGGAGGGCCTCTTTGGGCAATCTTGGAGGCTATCGATCTAAAGAGAGGGGGTACCCTAGAATGGTTCCACGCGTTGCGGAAACATTCCCGCTGCGAAGTTTGCTGTTCTTGCGTTGAGTAGTTTTGGTGGTGCCGAGGGGGATCGAGGGGGTGTCTCCGAAGTCATATCTGGGATCCACGTGAAAGTGGTGCCGTCTGGGCGGTCTCAGCTGCCTGCGGCAGGTCCCGCCACTGTGCTAGCCTAGTACGCTCGGTTGCGATTGTTCGAAAGGCACTTGCGGCCTTTTGAGTGTTCTGTGGGAAATCGTGGAGGCACTTTTGCGGCTCTGGGGCTTGTATGCGGGGTTCCAGGACGCCTGTGTGGGTTCTCCAGGGGCTTCTGGGAGGCTTCTTCGGGTCTCTTCGGGGCTTTGTCGGGCAGAAAGATCGAATTGTCGGTTCGTCTTCCCGCTGTTGGGCCTCTCCTGAGGCTGTCTGGGGCCTCTCTTGGGCTGTCTTGGGTGCCTCGTAGGCTACTTGGAAGCCCTCTTGGGCCGTTTTGGGGTTTTCTTGGGGGCCTTTCGTGGCGTGTGAACGGTCGCGCAGCTTGTGGCAATCTAAACGGTCGCGAGGCTCTGTGGCAATAAAAACGATCGCGAGGCTCCGTGGCAATCTAAACGGTCGCGAGGGGCTTCGGAGGGGACTTCGAACCAACATTCTCCTGGAGTCGCTTTCGGACGGCTTCAAAACTGTACAAAAGAGGTCCCGGAGGCTCCCCAGGGGACCTCAAACGCGGCCCGAGGGAGCCCCACGAGGCTCCCAAGAGGCGCTCCGAGGCCCTGGAGGGCGCCCGAAGAGGCCTCCGGTGTGCCCAAGAGAGCCCCAAGATGGCCCCAAACAACGCCAAGACAGCCCCAGAGAGACGCCACAGACCTTCCAGACGCGCCTGGACAGTCCAAGACGGTCACAGAAGCCTCCAACAGGCTCCCAACACGTTCCCAACGGACGTCAACGAGGCCCCCAAAGGGCCCCAAAGAGCTCCCGACGGCTCTCGAGAGGTCGACGGACCAGCGCGGCAGACCAGCGCGGCAGACCAGCACGGCAGAGTTTGACGTCGAAGATGGGCGGGGAACCGGCACGATAAACCGATAGCGTGTGTTGTGGTGTGCTGTACGGTAGGTTCGCGTCGTGTCGACCAGCGGCGACCCCAGCGCGGGCGTTCAAGGTTGAACGCCGCCGGCGACCCAGAATCGATCGATGTTGAACGATCGGACGTTGCGGCAGCGGCCGATCGTTCAAGGTTGAACGATCCCCGAGGTGACAGAAACCATCGCTGGGGTCGGCACGACACGAACCTGCCGTAGTACGTACTTGCCTGAGTAGTTTTGACTCAAGCAGACGATCTCTGACAGACGCGGTGGACAAAGCGGCGCTTCCCGTTTTTGTCCGGTGAGGTTCCTAGAGCACTATCTCATTATCCTCCTTCTCCTGCCACCTTCCGCTATGCCAAACCACACCCGGCCAGCCATACCATACCATACCATACCACGTTTGCCACACCATACCATACTTACCAAGGGAGGCCCGCCTGAGCGAGCTGAGTATCCCCATAACATACTGTCTAGCAGGTGTCGTGCCATCCCACCTCTCCAGGGAGGGTTCGCCTGAGCGAGCAGGGCATTACAAGTTTCAAATCAATTATTTTGGTTTCGTGATCTCCCACCCCTCCAGGGAGGCCCCGTCTGAGCGAGCATAGTATCCCCATACCACCCTATGTATCAGGTTTCGTACATATCCCACGGCTCCAAGGAGGCCCCGCCTGAGCGATCAGGGTAGCCCAAACCGTATACTAACTTTCTTGCGTGGGGAACTCCAGCAGCATACTTAGAACACCCTCTCCTTCTCGCCTTTCTCCCGCTTCCCTACTCTGTAACCTACGACCAAGCCATACCCACCATACCATACAACACCTGCCATACCATATCATACGTAGTATACCAGACCAGTCTACCATATCACACCAACCATACCATTCGTACGGAAACATACCATACCACACCATACGAATCCATACCATTCTGGACCACTGTACATTATCATGCCATTCCTTCCATACCATCCCCTTCTCGATCCTACGATACCGTTTATATCATCCAGCTGCCTGCGGCAAGTCCGCCACCGTGCCTGGGCCGTGAGTTATACTCCTCTTGGATGTTCGTTGGGAGGCCTCTCGGGGAATGTTGGAGTCAGTGTTGAGGCCACTCGAGAGCCTCTTGGGCGCCTCCTGGGGGCCTCTTGGGGCCCCCTGGGAGCATCTTGCGGGCCTCTTGGGAGTCTCTTGGGACTTCCTGGGGGCCTCTCGGGGCCCAAGGCTCGAAATGTCCGTTCGGGTCCCTCGTCTGGGCCCCTTGTGGGAGCCGTCTTGAGGGCCTCTTGGGCCGCATCGGAGGCCTCTTTGGCCGTCTTGGGGCGCTCCTGGGCCGTCTTCGGGCCCTCTTGGGGGCCTCTGGGGCTGTCTTGGGGCGATCTCCGAGGCATCTTTTGGGTCGTCTTCGCACGTCGGGACGGCGAAAAGGCGAGGATGCCCAAATCCTTCAACAACTCATGAAAATCTATGATTTTCGGCTCCTCTTCCTCCTCCTCCTCCTCCTCCTCCTCCTCCTCCTCCACCTCCTCCCTCCTCCTCCTCCTCCTCCTCCTCCTCCTCCTCCTCCTCCTCCTCCTCCTCCTCTTCCTCCTCCTCCTCCTCCGCCTCCTCCTCCTCCTCCTCCACTCCTGGGGACCTTTTGGCAGAGCTCTTGGAGGCCTCCTGGGGCGTCTTGGAGGCGTTCTGGCCCGGCGGGACGCCATCTTGGGCCTCCTGGAGGCATCCTGGGCGATCTTGGTGGCCTGGGTGGGCTTCCTGGGCCGTGATGGAAGCCCTGGAGAGCCCCAGGGTGTCGCCATGGCCGCCCAGAGACTCCCGGGAGTAGGGGCGGTGCAGTCAGCTATCCGTGTCCCGGAGGGTGGGCGGCCCCTGAGAAGACTACAGAAACCCTGCCAGACAGCCCTTGGCATGCTCCCACGCCTCAACGTACCAAGGCACGGTGGTGGATACCATGCCACACGTATCGATCTCACAATCGATGTCACTATCGATCTCACTATCGGTCTCACTAATGATTTTACTTTCATCTCACTCGATCGATCTCACTGTCGATATCACTATCGATCTCACAATCGATCTCACTATCGATCTCACTCTCGATCTCTCTCACTATCGATCTCAGTCGATTTGCATATAGATTTGCATTTCGATTTGCATGGCGATTTGCATTTCAATTTGCATTTCGATTTGCATCTTTGATTAGCATTTCCGATTTGCATTTCGATTTGCATTTTCGATTCGCATTTCGATTTGCTTGTCGATTTGCATTTCGATTTGCTCTGGGAGACCCTGCCGGAGCGAGCAGGGTACCTCCATACCATATTATTTATCAGGTTCCGTGCACCTCCCACCCTCCAGGGAAGCCCCGCCTGAGCGAGGATGGGCGTCCATGTCTTACTATTTATCAGGTTTCGTGGCCCTCCCACCCCTCCAAGGAAGTCCCGTGTCCGAATACGGTGTGATTTGTCAGGTTCCATGTTTTTCCTACTCTTCCAGGGAGTCCCCTTCTGAGCGAGCAGGGGTACCTCCAGTACCGTACTTTTCATCAGGTCGCTTGCCGCTCCCACATCTCCAGGGAGGCCCCGCCGGAGCGAGCAGGGTAACCCCGTACCGTACTATTCATTAGATGTTCTGCCTTTCCCACCCCTCCAGTGATGGCCCGCCTGAGCGAGAACGGTTTCCCAATCATATAATGTTCATCAGGTGTCGTGCCCCTCCCACCTCTCAAGGGAGGCTCCGTCTGAGCGAGCAGGGATTCCCCATACCATACTGTTCATCAGGTGTCATGCCTTTCCCATCCTTCCAGGGAGCCCCCGCCGGATCGAGCAGGGTACCCCATTACCGCACTATTCATCACGTGTCATGCCCTTCCCACTTCTCCAGGGAGGCCCGGCCTGAGCGAGCAGGGTATCCCCATACGATACTGGCTATCAGGTTGCGTGCCCCTCCCACTTCTCCAGGGAGGCGCCGCTTGAGCGAGCAGGGCATCCACCTACCATGGTGTTCATCATGCTGTGTCCCTCCCACGCCCTGAGGGAGGCCCCGCCGGATCGACCAGGGTATCCGAATACCATACTACTATGTATTAGGTTTGGTGCCCTTCCCATCCTCCAGGGAGGCCCCGCCTGAGCGAGCAGGGTCGGCCCATGCTATCACATTTCTCACGTCGTCGTCGTCGTCGTCTTCGGCGTCGTCGCACCCCTGGACCTCGTAACCGCGGAAGTCATGTCCACACACCGTGTGGTTGAGATGACTTCAGTTCTCCTGTTTTATACATGGAGTTTGCTTTCTCCGGGTTGGGAGCATTTGGTTTCAGCACGCTTCGGCTGGACAGACGTTGTGGCCCAAAGCTTTTGAGTCGTACGACGCCACTCCATTCAACAGACAGCATCAACCTCATCGTGCACTCATGTCTTCCGCCACTGAGCTTCTTTCCCTGGTGAACAATGCCCGTCAATCTGCGGAGGGAGACCAACCCGAACTAGTCCAGAAGATCCAGGGGTACCTCAAGGGCATCGACCAAACGCATTTGGAAGCGGCGCGGTTTCCCACGCAGAGCGTTGACGAGAAAAACCTGGAACGGTTGGCTGAGCACCTCCTGGCGTTGGAAACGTTGAGCGCCGCGGAGAACTTGAAGAACAGCACGGCGTCTGGCTCGCAGGCCCGTAGCGGCGAGCCTCCAATGGTAATCCCTGACCCAGTGATCAGCGAGGGCGGGATAATGATCACCCTCGCGGCTCACATGCCACCGATGGACCGCAAGAGCGTCCGGCCGTGGGTTGAATCGCAGGTTCCCGAGCAGTTGGTCGGTCATTTACAGAAGAGTGTGGCGCTGCCGGGCGGCCGGAAGTTGCGGCAGGACTTCGTCAACATCACTGAATCGGGACTGGAGGTTTTGAAGTCAGCTTTCGCAAAGAGCGGGACGGTGGCGCCGATCCGCGCCGTTGAGTTTGCGAAGCGCAAGGCGTACGAGAGTGAGACTGCCGCAAGCAAACGCTCGCGGGCGTCTGCTGTCGGAAACCTGAACCGCACCCTTGATGTAGTAGAGACTGTCTCCAGTTCTGGGGACCCCGAATTCATGCGCTTGGCAATGTCAGCTGTTGTTACATCGCAGCGCGTGGCGCCTCACGGCTTGCGCGAGGTGGCCGACGACCCTCTCGCTCGGAGCAGGGGCGCTGACGACAGGTGATGCGTGGGCCTCCTATTGCGTCCTGTCGTGCATTCTGGTGTGTGTGTGTGAGGCGAATATGCTTCCACTTTGTCGCCAAGGTTATCGTGGCCACGTTTGCATCGCCCGGGGGCCAAACGGGATTTCAGTGGCGACGGGGGGGGGATATATTGGGGGCGTCGCCGGGCAGTGAAACATCAGAGCTGGCGATGTTCTTCTGTGTTGCTCCCCCCCCCCCCGTTTGGTTCCATTGCGTCGGTTTCGTGTCACACACGTGGCTGGCCCGCCGCGTAGGATAGATCGCGTCGTGCGGACGCATTCGGTGCTCCGCTAGCCCGCGCGGGCAGTTGGGAAGCCACTGTACCTCCACTTGATGCCGAATTTGCGTATCACGTCACTCGCATTTGTGAGGCAAGTGTGCTTCCACATGCGCGTGAGCGACGTATGGCAGGCAGCGTCGGGCACTCACACAGCGGCGAGTGCGCGCGTCCGTCACATCACATCAGGGTGCTCTTCCAATATGGTCTTCGGATCTTGCTGAACACGGGGGGCCCATAATACCCGCGGCCCTTCATGAGCCTCATGAGACGCCTAGTGGTGTGATTGTGAGCGGTTGTCGGACGTTGTCTGCGATCTCTGGGCGGTTCCGTTGTCCATTGAGGTTTTGTCGGGGCCCTTTCGGGCCATTTGGGGGTCATGTTTGGGTCCGGGATGCCCCGCTGTGGCTTTCTCCTTCTCCTCATCCTACGCCTTGATCCTACGCGTCGTCATCGCCCAGCCGTTTTTTGCTAGAGTATCGCGTCGTGGAGTCTTGCCTGGACCAGTGCTCTTGGTTAGTCTCGTTGCATTGGCCATGGCGTTGCACCTCTCAGGGGCAGACCAGCAGGAGTGGGGGGAGAAGTTCGACGATACTGACCACGATGAGGACGGCATCATCGACTTCGCGGCTGCATGTTCGGCTTTGTCTACTGTACCTCAGACGCCCTCGGCTGCGATGCTGCGCGAGTGGATTCAGGAAGTGGGCGCGGAGGACAACGACGTCATTGAGAAGGAGACGTTCTTGTCACTGGTCGCCCGCGTCCTTCGCAGTGGTGGAGTGCCCACAACTCCGCCGCGTCGGGCTCGCAGTCGGAGCAGGGGAGGCTGGCGCGAGGGTGGCCTGTCAGCAGGGTCATGGCATGAGTCATCATCCTGGGGGTACGAGGGCACCAACGGCAGCTCTGAGGGTGGCGAGGTGGGCTGGGGCAGCAGCGCGTGGGACGGCCGAGCGGGCTGGCGTGAAGCCGGTGGCGAGGCCGTGGTTGCGCAGAGTCGTTGGGCCAAAGAGTCCAATGAGGACGCGGACGCGCGCAAGGGCGAGTGGGCGATCGTACCTGCGGGGCGGAGGCTTCATCGGAGTGGGAGAGCGAGACGTCGCGCCCGTGGAAGGTGCAACGCGTTGAACAGGTTCAGGCGTGGGGCGACGGTGGCGGCCAGCAACGGGGGGCGAGGAAACGGTGATTGTCGAGAGGCCATTCTCGGCCATGAATCAGGATATGCTCGGCGAGGACAACGTCGTTGGCAAGGTCGTCGGGAAGTCCATGGCAGTGGCCGCCTTGCCTCGTCGTAATGGCGCCGCCGGCACCGCTGACCTGTACAAGGTTTGGCTCGTGCAACCGGACGAGAACGATGAGGGCGCGGTTCTCGGGCGGGGCCAGAGAGCGAAGGAGTTAAAGGAAACGTTCAGCCGCATTCGCACGGACTCGATCGTCTCGATCAAGGCGTCGGCTTTGAAGGGGAACAGCAGCTACGAGGTAAGGGACTTCCCCCGGGTTGACGTGCTTGATGCCGGTTGGAGCGCGCTGTGGGCCGCGGCGAAGCTGCGCGCCACTACCATGGAAGACGCCGTCCGCACTGGAGGGCGCGTCAACTTGAGTGGTTGGGTGCACTCGAAGGACGAGAAGCCGACGAAGGTGGGCGACAAGCAGAGGAGCCGCCTCCAGTTCTACCTCGTATCTAGCGCTGGGCACGTCTACCCCGTGGGCGCGTTCGGCGCAGCCGCCGAATTCATTGCGAGGAACGTCTTCGTGAACAGCTACTACAATTTCTTGTCCGTCGATGTGAAGCCGAAGGAGCAGCGCGTCACGCTGGGGGATGATTCGGCCGTGGAGGAGGCGGGGGATGATTCGGCTGCGGAGGAGGCAAGCGGCATCGGGAACAAAATCAGGGGGCAAGAGGTGGCGCAGTGCGAGCGCATCGGAATCTCCCGGAGGCTCCAGGAGTCTGGGGGTGGGAGACCCGGTGGGAGTTCTGGCGTCCATTGTTTGTACAGGGTGGGAGGTCCCTGTGCCCTAATGCCGCGAGGTTCGATGAGGTTGGAGAAGGCAGACCTGGGCGGGGTGCTTGGCGTCGATGATTGAAGGGGGGGGCGCGACGACCGTGTGCAGTCAAAAGCTCCAGGAGGCTGCTGAGTGAGAGGTTGCTAAAGCATTGTGCCCAGCTTGGCGGGGGGCCCAGGGATGATGCCTGCAGGTTGGGATGTCCCCAAAACAACGGCTTTCAGAGGATCCCGGAAACACAGGGTGAAAGAAATCTGGTGCCGTGGCATGCCACGGTGGGGGTGAGTACAGTCGGAGTTGATTAGTAGGGCGACCCTTCCAAATTCAGGATGCCCTTGTTTCCTGTCTATCCCGCCCCACGTCCCCTGCGCGTCCTCTGGTTGTTCGCGGCCACGTTGGCCTCGGAAGAGTCCTGAGTCCTGTCGGATGTCCTGCCCCATCAACTCCCGCTGTAGTCGGCAATCGCTTCGGTCGATTGTTCGGATTTACCTTAGTACGCTGGCTGGTCGCTTCGTTTGTTGCCTGCCCCAGACAGGCGTGGGCAACGGAGAGCACTCCGCGCTCCAAGCGCCCGCTCGTCTGGTGAGCAAGCACGCGGGCGCGCTGTGTCGTCGTGTAACCGGGCTGGAAGTTGTCCTGTCCAGTTCGCGCTGCTGCGAGGCAAATTCTTCACGCTTCGCGCATCCCCACCAGCCCATCTCAAAACAGCAACTCTAGCGAAGCATGCCGACAGTCGTGTTTTTCAGGCGTGTTTCCGCCTGCCCCCGCATATCTCCCCTGTTCCTCCTTCCTCCCGCCTCCTTGCACATCCTCCTTGTGGTGGGGGCGGGAGAAGGGCGAGGCGGAGGAGGAGGGAGAGAAAGCGCTCCTCGTGGTTTGAGTCGTTCGGGCTTCTCGTCCTGGTGTGAGTCGTTCGGGCCCTTCTTCCTGGTGTGAGTCGTTCGGGCTCTTCGTGGTGTGAGTCGTTCGGGCTCTTCGTCCTGGTGTGAGTCGTTCGGGCTTCTCGTGGTGTGAGTTGTTCGGGCCCCTCGTCCTGGTGCGAGTCGTTCGGGCCCCTCCTCCTGCCCGTCCAGAAACGACGCCCAGGCGAGTAGAGGGTCGTCCTGATGGGCTTTTCGGCGTCTTGGGTGCCTCGGGGGGCTTCTTTGGGCCGTTTGGGATCCTCTTGGGGGCCTCCTGGGCGCTTCTTGGGGCCATCTTGGAGGAAATCGATCAAAGAAGAGGGGGGCTTTAATTAGCGCTGCCCCCTCAGAAGGCCAACATGGGGCCAAAAACTTAGTAAAATCAATGATTTTGGCTTGAAGGAAGAGGGGAGCTTTAATTAGCGCTGCCCCCTCAGAAGGCCAACATGGGGCCAAAACCGTAGTAAAATCAATGATTTTGGCTTCAAAGAAGAGGAGAGCACTTTTCCGCCCCCCCCCCCGTCGGAGCCAGAATCCTCGTGAGGGGTGTCGTTTTTTTAGCCCTCCCAGGAGTCGAAAAAGACCCCTCCAACGACCCGCGGGGCGCCTTCTCCAGGCCCAGGGGGAAGGGGTAGGGGGAGGGGTAAACCCCTCCCCGAAGGGGAAGAAGGGGGTTGAGAACAGAGCGGGCTCTCTAAACCACTCACGCCCAAAGAGCTGGTGGGATTAGGCTTCCAGTTGTTTTGCGCGCACTGGCACCAGGCGGGATACCAGCGGCAGCGCCAGATAGCCCAACAGCACATTGCGACAATCGCTGGGGCAGCGCATCGCTGTTGCAATCGAGTGGCCTGCAGTCTTTTCCCGCCCCGTGCTGAACGACGTGGTATCGGGCGTCGGCCACCCGCCATCCATCTTTGTAACTGTTGCAAAACTGGAAGCTTCAGGGTCGTCAGTGGCGAGGAAGTCTCAGGCGAAACGCCCGGCTCGCCCTAAGCACACGTCTGGCTGTGCGACAGGGAGGAGCCATCTATGAGGAGAAGGGATGGAGGGCGAGGAGGTGGCTGAGGAGGAGCAGGAGGTCACCGTCGGCAGCGAGCGGTGGGGGGGGGTCGTTCCCACACCATCCAGCGTCGTGAGGTTTTTCTCAGCGTGGACCCCCGTGCGCCTCGACCCTCTCCCCCCCGAGGCCTCGGCCTTCCGGCTGCTCGTCCCGGGCTGTCTGCCGGCGGGCCCCGGGGCCCAGTTCGGCGGCGGGCCCAGGGGGGAAGTGAGAGGGGGCGGGCCATCTCAGAAGGCTCAGAAGGCCTCCGGCCTCTGAGAAGTTTCCTCGGGTCCTAGGAGGGCCCAGCCTCGGTTTCCGTAGCCCTTATGGTTTTGAGCTGTGCGAGTGCTTGTACCTTGCAGACAGAATCCCCCGTCGCTCTTTGGCTCATTTCTCCTACCGTGCGTCCAGATTAGGATCGTGGCGGCGCTGGCCCCCGCGGCCGCGGCTGCAATTTCCACGGGTGCGTTCGCCGCGGGGACGGTTAGCGCCGCCAGGCAAGATGGCGCCGCGCCCGCGTCCGCGCTGTCGCGGGAGGCTGCGTTGGCAGGAAGCGTCACACCAGGCGCCGGCGGCGCGGGGGCGTTCGCTGGCGTCGCAGCGGAGCCATTGTCATCTGCGGAAGCTGCTCGGACCAGGGCCGCCACACTCGGGCCTTCTAATGAGAGGGCGATTCCCAGCGCGGCGGGGGCCGAGGGCGCAAGCATCGTAGGTGCGCTTCGTGGCGTCGCCGCCGCGTTGGAGTCATCTTCAACAGCAGCGGCGCGGAGGCGCTTCAGAGGCAGGCCTTGGGCCGAGATGTCCGACGATGACGCGTCCGAGGTGGGGCCGCTCGTCGGCCCGCCGAATCCGGGATCGCGCGATCATCCAGCGTGTCGGCGTTTGACTCAGCATGCCTGATCGCCGTTCTTGCAACAGCGATCGCTGTGGTGGGTGCGAACTCGCCGATGCCATGCCCGATCGTGGTTTCCTCACACTCAGGTAAGGGTTAGTAATGTTTCCACGATCGGCCGATGGGTTGAACGTCGGCAAGAGAGTATTGGAAAGATTGCAAAATTCTTGGGGAAGGTTGACATGCGTCAGGCCCATCCCCCCTGATCATAGGAGGTTGCGATCTGGCAGAGCGTTTTTCAATCTCCCCCTCCCCCGCTGCCCGCCGCTCTTTCCCTTCCTTCCACCTTCCTTGTCGACTCATCGGGAGAAGGAAGAGGCGGTGGAATCGTTAGGATACGAATATGTCGAGGGACGATAGCATTGTGGGCTGCAGGAAAGAAGACTTGACTTGTATTGTGGGGGATGTTCACTGGCTCATCCAGGATGCCCCTGCGGACGAGTTGATCGCTTGTTGGCGCGGGCTCCGCGCGCGCACGGCGTCGGAATTCTAAATGCGGCATGGTCGGAGGAACGGGCGTTGCCCAGGCCGTGACGATTCATTGTGCGGCAGAACTGCGACAATGGGGACGCGTGCGGGTGGTGCCACCACCCGTCGCATCGACGTGCCAGAGCTCATCAAAAGGGTGAGGGATGGGAAAGGCTTGCGATTGGGAGAGAGAGAGAGAGAGAGAGAGAGTTTTTAATAATGACGTAGACGCCTGGAGGTAAAGCCCGATGGATCACACGTCGGGCCCCCAGTCCAAGCGCGATCCAGCGTTGGGGTCCGCTAGGTGCCGGCAGACGCGGGCGACAACCGCGAGGGCGTGGGCCTGGCGAAGTTTATTCTGAAGATGGAGCAGGGCCAGGCAGTTTCGGCCCACAGGATGTCAGAGGCGCAGCAGCAAGGTGAAATCGATGACTTTCGCAGCAGTAGTTCCGCGCATCCGTATGCGCTGGTCCGTGGAGGCGAAGGTGCGTCCGGATCGGACACTGCAGAGGCTGCGTGCGGTGCGACTCGTCCTGTGTAGTTTCAGAGGCTTCGTTGGTGACAGTATATGAGGTTGGGCTCCTGAGATGGGCGTCGTCCCTATGCTGTGTGGCACAGGATAGCGTGATCGTTCCCTCAGGCAGGACGAATTCATCCGTGACGAAGAAGCACTTCATGAAGATCTGAGGTGTGTCTGTCACATGCTGATGCTTCTTAGATCATGGCCATTTTCAGTGGCGCTTTTGCGTCCGCTGCGCGCGTTCGCACGTGCAGCCGCATGTTCCTCACTCCGACACCTGTGCGGCGAAGGTTATTCTAGGTATTTCCTTCGCGAAGGCGCTTGCGTGTATGCTGCCGCTTGCGTTTGCTTGTGGACCTTTTGTACTTGCCCTGCCACCAAAAGCGAAGGTGCTTCGAGGTGTTTCCGGAAACTGCTACGTTGCGGTCCGGGGACTCGCGAGGCGAATCAGCTTCCAGAAATGTGCGATCAGGGTTCGGGGAGCAGAATCAGTCAGGGGAATAACCTGGCGCTACTGCTCGGGGTCGTCACAGCACCTTTTGTTGCAGTTGCATCAGCCCGAGGGAGCTCGTGAAGATAAGCGCTATTCGTATAGCGTCTTGTATGGCCCCCATGCGCCTTTTTGATATCGGACCCTCGCACGCGCTCGCGTGCATTCGTCCTCCAAATTTGCAGCAATTGCACCGATGGAGGGCGGTCCGTTTGTAACATGGGGCTTTTGTATTGGCGGCGCGTGTCTGAACCTGAACAGTTTTCAACAGTTCTTCGGATGGAGGGCGAGCCGTTTGGCTCTCTCGAGCCTTAACGCGCGACTTAACCCGCTCTTTGTTCGAGCCCTGCTTGTGGCGCCGGTACGGTCTAAGGGCCAAATCTGCAACGTGGTACTGTTAGAAGTAGACGACCTTTCAATGGGAAGCTCCTCTCCCGAGACCAGTTCCTGGCCGCGCTCGGCCCTAGAGAAGAGATTCAAGTTCGGAGAGCCCCGCGACTACCAGGCTAGTCCTGCTGATTATGCGGGAAGGCGGGTCACGTTCGGCCCCGATGAGATCGGCGGATCAAGAGAAGGACATTCTTGAGTAGGCGCGCCCACTGAACCTGGCCCGCGGGCGAGCCACCCACAAAGATTCACCCCCAACCGACCGAGAGTTCCGTGCTCTACGATCACTGGTGCGCAAATTCAACTGGGTCGGACGCGAATGCCGCCCCGAGGCGGCAGGCGTAGCAAGCGCGCTGGCCAGCGGACTTAGAGCTCCTACCACGGGGGTCGTAGCGCTGGCAAATAAGCTAGTGCGCCACCTTCGGACGACGGCCTCCCGAGGCCTCACGATATGGAGCCTGGGCCCCGACAGGATGGCCTTCATCTCTTCCTTCGACGCAGGCGGCGTCGGCGCTCCTGATGGCGTGACCGACGAAGCCGGGCTTCCCGAGGACCCGACGCTGCATTGGCAGTCGATCAGGACGTGGCCCAGAACAAGTCAGTTAAGGCATCGATCCTAGGCTGGAGGTCCCTTCGGAGAAAGGCCCCGTCTACGCTAGCTGGAGAGACGCAGGCGCTCTCCTCAGCAGTTGCCGAAGTAGAATACCTACAGTTGTTGTATCGAGACATAGTCTTTCGAGATATCGACGTTACCGATCACTATCGGGGAGCTGGGCCCTTTGCTCCAGTACTTAGGCGTGACTGTCGGCTTGGTGCTCGTGCATGTACACGTAGTCGACGCCAAAAACAGAGTGAGTAGGAGGACGGAACGGACGTCCAAGAGGAGCAGGAGGAAAGTCGATCAGGGACGCATTCGATGCGCTCGTCCCTGGGATGCGAAAACATGGCCTGGACACGCGTATGGGCCGAACACTTGGGGATGTCGCGGAGCTGTTTTGGGGCTCTCTTGGCGCTTTCCTGAGCCTGTCTTGGGCGTCCCGGGGCCCTGGGGACATTCGGGCGTCCCTTGGGGGTTTTGGGCGCAGTTTTGGCGCGGCTGGGCACTGCTTTTGGGGCGCTTCGGGGCCCGCTCAAGGCACGCGTGGGCCGTCTTGAGACCCTCGTTGGATGTCCTGGGGCCTCCCGGGTGCTCCTTTCGGAGCGTCCTGGAGCTGTCTCGCGATGTCTTCTGGCCCGCCTGGGCCGTCCCGGGGCTTCCTTCTGGCTCCCCGGGGCGCCATTTGGGCCGCCTTCGGAGCGATTTTGGGGAGCCCCGCAGCCGTCACGCCCGCTCTGAAGGCCGTAGGGGCGAGTATGCGAAAGTCGTGGCCAAACTTTGGGAACCTCAATGTGTGGATCGTTTTCGTCGAAACAGACCTCTTCCACGTCTGAGTGCTCTTTCCTCCCCGTCTCCGCGCGGCCGCCCTCGTCCTTGTCCGCTTGCACGCCGGCCAATCAGCCACTCGGCTGCCCCGAACTGCCACACGCTGGTGCGGATTGCCCCTGCCTCGCCGCCGATGAGTTAATCTCTGCGTGGAGCTCCCCATCTGTGCATCTATTCGCATGGACCTGTCCGCCGTGAGTGTCTAGGCGCAAGAGCTTTCGAATATCAGCGGGCTTCAGCTGTGGCGGTCTGGTCATGAATACAACTGCGAATGAATTGGAGTGTGAAAGAGCCTCAGTAGTACGAGCGCGTCTCTGCGCATGAGCCTGGGGCCTCCTGGGACCTCCTGAAACCTACTGGGGCTTCCTGGGGCCTCCAGGAGCCTCCAGGGGCCTCTTGGGGCCTCCTGGGACCTCCCAGGGAGGCTTCGTGCCCCAGGAGAGGCCCAATCTATAGCAACCGACGTACATAAAACATTGCGGATTGGAGCCACAGGAGAAGGGCAATCTATAGGAACACACTTAAAGCACCAAGGACTCGTGCCCAAGGAGAGGCCCAACATGCAGGAACATATGTAAAACATTTAGGATTGCGTTCACAGGAGAAGGAACATCTATAGAAACATACCTATAACGTCAAGGATTCGTGCTCCAGGTGAGGCCCAATCTACAGGAGCGTACGTAAAGCACATGGGACTGGAACCACTCCTGTTGCCTTCTGAGGCCTCCTGCTCCTGGGGCCTCTCGGGGCCTCCTGTTGCCTTCCGAAGTCTCCTGGCGCTTCCTGTGGCATCCTGGGGCCTCCTGTGGCTTCCTGAGGCCTCCTGGAGCTTCCTGGGGCCTCCTGGAGCCTCTTGGGACATCTTGTGGCCTCTTGAGTCTTTCTGTGGCCTCCTGATGCCTTCTGGGACCTCATGTGGTCCCCAGGGGCCTCCTGGAGCCTGTTGGAGCATCCTGTGGCATCCTGAGGAGAACCTGTGCCCACGAGTCTGGCCACCAAAACAGGCAAACCGAAGGAGACGTCCTCAAAATCTGACCCACCTGGGGAGTGGAAATGCGCGCCTCGCTCGAGACATCCTCCAAATCTGCTCCGAAAGCGAACGATGTCGGGACAGAAAACAAGCAAACCGCTTGAGACATCCCCACAAAACGGCCGCGAACGGTACCGTGTCATACCCCTCGGCGGCTCCCCTTAGGGGCGTGAAAATGAGCGCCTCTCTCGAGCCTCCAAATCTGCTCCGAAAGCGAAGGATGTTGGGACAGAAAACATGCAAACAGCTTGAGACATCCCCACAAAACGGCCGCGAACGGGACCGTGCCATACCCCTCGGCGGCTCCCCTTAGGGGCGTGAAAATGAGCGCCTCGCTCGAGACATCCTCCAAATCTGCTCCGAAAGCGAAGGATGACATCTCCACAAAACGGCCGCGAACGGGACCGTGTCATACCCCTCGGCGGCTCCCCTTAGGGGCGTGACAATGAGCGCCTCGCTCGAGACATCCTCCAAATCTCCTCCGACAGCGAGGATGCTGGGACAGAAAACAGGCAAACCGCTTGAGACATCCCCACAAAACGGCCGCGAACGGGACCGTGTCATACCCCTCGGCGGCTCCCCTTAGGGGTGCTGAAACCAGCGCCCAGCCTGAGACATCCTCACAATCTGCTGTGTGTAGAGTAAGTCAGACAATGAGAAGGCCTGAGTATGAGTAAGTCTGGGTATGAGTGAGTCTCAGCATGAGTAAGTCTGAGTATGAGTAGGTCTGAGTATTTGTAGGTCTGAGTATAGATTATTTTGTGTGTGTGAGTAATTCTGGGTATGAGTAAGTCTGAGTGTGAGTCAGTCTGTGTATGAATAAGTCTTGGTATGAGGAGGAGAGGGGAGGAGAAGGAGAAGGAGGATGAGGAGTAGGAGGCGTCAGAGTAATAACAAGGACCCCATCTTAGGATATGGGGCAAAATGTGTGGATCGTTATCGGGTGGATGCCGTCCTGGATGCTCTGAGCACCCGGAGTGCGAATATATTTGGGGTCGTTTTCGCGAGGTCCATGCCATTCATGCTGCTTGTTCCGCGGCGTATCCTATGTTCGTGTTCGTTGGGATTGGTTTCGGCTTCTATCCTGCTGTTCCCGTCGCGTTCGTGCAAAATAAACGCATGCAATGCTCACGTCCGCGGAGCGGCCAAACCCCAACACCATGCAAGCCAGCATCGAACGCGATCTTTGCAAAGCGAGTCCAAGGTTTTGTTATTTCAAGTGGTTCCGACATGCCGACATATTTGCGCAATGCATCACCTCGCTGGAAGTCAGGCCGTTGTGGCCGAATTTGTTTGGGCCGCTCTTGGAGCGCTCTTTGGCGCTCCGGGGGCCCTCTTGGGGCCCTCCTGGTCGTCTCTTGGGGCTCTCTTGGGCCATCTTGGGGCCATCCTGAGGCCTCAAGAGCCCATCGGAAGCGAAAAGGCGAGAAGGCAAAAAACAATAGTTGTCCTTAGGGATTGGAGCCATTTTGAATTCTTGGGGGGGTCCTTGGAGGCCTCGGAGGGCACTTGAAACCGTCTTGGGGCTGTCTTGAGGCCTCTTGGACGCGTGTCTGAGGGTATCTTAAGCCATCTTGAGGTATGTTGGGCCATCTTGGAGGCCATCTTGGGCTCTCTGAGGCCCTCCTAAAGCCATCTTGGGCCATCTTGGACGCTCTAACCCCTCGCGGGGGAGCTCGTCCAGACGCAGG